GACCCAGGTTCAATCGCCAGCACCCACGTGGTGGCTCACAGCCATCTGCAACTCCAGTCCAGGGTGTGTGGAGGGGGAATCCCACACAACCTCTTCAGGCCTTTGAGAGCACTGCATGTGCATGGTACATGGATATGCCTGCAGGGCAAACACTCGTACACATAAAAATAAGTAGCTTTTTAAAAATGCCCACAGACTTGCCTACACGGCAGTCTGGTGGAGGCATTTCCTCAACTTGGCTTTTTGTTTGTTTGTTTTGTTTTGTTTTTCTCTTCTAGGTGGCACTAGCTTATTTCAATTTAAAACAAAACAAGACAAAACACAAACTAACCAGCACAGATGGATTCAAATGGAAGCTGGGTGCAAATCTGGTTCCGTCGTTAATCAGCTGCTGTGACTTTGACCCATTGTCTCACTCTTGGGGCCTCAGTCCCATGTGTTAAATGAGTAAGTAGTGCCTGTCACACAAATGCATAAGAGTGGATGGAGTAGTACACCAGTTATTGGAGTTCCTGGAGTAGAAGAGCTTGTCAATGTTAGCTATCAAGGTCATTAGGAACATTTCCTGCCTCACCCCATGATCTAATCCTAGAAGAGATGCTTCCTGTAAAGCAAGCAGCAGGAGCCCAAGATTTATTGCTGAGTCCCTGGCTCCCTGGCTGGCTAGCCTAGGCAAATGGTCATGGTTGTCCAGTTCTGATTTCCTAGGGAGTCTGTTATGGAATAATCCTTTTGTAAGCTGTGAAGATGTGTCTCTGCCAAGGCGCCTTCTAATTGGTTTAATAAGAGCTGACAACCAGTAGGAAGGCAGGAGGTATAGGTGGGGCAGCCAGACACAGGAAGGACACTGGGAGGAAGAAGGGCAGAGTCTTGGGGGTTGTGGGAGAGGTAGAAAGAAACAAGATGAATGTATCATGTTGAAAGAAGGTACAGCCACACGGCAGAGGGTAGATAAGAAATATGGGTTGATGTAAAATATAAGAGTTACCTATTAACCAGCCTGAGCTATTAGCCAAGCATTTATAATTAACAGTAAGTTTCTGAATGATTATTTGGGAGTGACTGCAGAGACAGAGAAACGCCACCTACAGGACTCATTGCTGCATCAGTTAAGGTCCTGCTGTGGAAACACAAGGAAACTGCCCTCTCTGTCCTGGAGTGGAATGAGTTCTCTACCCATGAAGGGAGGCAGGGGCGGGGGGGGGGGGGAGGAGCTCAACAGCCATTCGCTTGGGGATAGAGCAGGGAAGATTCCATGGTCAACAAACAGCAAAGCACACGTTGCTTGGGGGTCACCTCCAGACTAAATCTGCCTCCCATACAGATAGGCTGAACCTTCCAGGAACTGGTCTTCATTGCTCCACCAAACAGCTACACAGAGAGAATATCAGCCTGTTCCTGTTGGTCCACCCAGACTGGAACACAGTAAAAGCCCAAACAAAACAAGCGTGGCTCTCACAAGCAGGAGGACGATAAGGGATGCGGTTAAAGGCTTTGCCCAGTGACCCACTGGCTGTTCATTCTGTGAATTCTGCCCAGGAATTTACAAGGAATCCAAGGTCTGTGACTGGAAAACTGGGAAGAGAGCCATCAGGTCAGGTTGGCAGCGAGAAGCTGGGCAAAACAGCAGATATCTGGTAAGAACTCAGTGGGCAAGGTTTATCCACAGTTCCTCCCTCCCCTCGGAAGTGCTAAGGAAGACAATGCTGCCTTATCCCATAGCCTAATCTCCTTTCTAACATGGAACTGAACACTGAGTCCTGGAGACAAGGAGGTGGACCAATTGCCAGAGATGACATCATTGAGTAGAACAAGCCAAGCAAAGGCCCTGTGACTCCAACAATGACTTTCCCGTCCAACATCACTACATCAACACAGTCCTCAGGAAGGTCTCGGCCCCTGCAGGTCTAGTGCCTGTCTGTTCCCACAATGCTTTTCTGCAGACATTTGCCACTCTCTCCAGTCAAAGGCGGTTAAGCACTTGTCAAGATGTCCCAAGACAGATTCTTGAAGGGTGACTGCCTCACAGCCTCATTTGTGCGTCCCTGGCTGTTTGCGGGATGGTTCTGAGTTTAGGAAGCCCGGCTTTTTGAAATGGATAATCCTGAATTCAAGTCATACTTTTTAACCTGTGCAACCCTAGACAATTTACTTAATATCTCTTTGCCCCAGATCCTCCAAGTTTTAAATGAGAATGAAAACAGAAGCTGTTTCCCAACGCAGTCAGAAAGATGAATGGATCATTGGCATCCAGTGTCCGGCACAGTGCCTGGATGTGGTAGGGACAGAAAAGAGCTGTGACGGTCACGGGTACCCCCATTATTCACCAGCCCCGGATTGCCTCAGGAAAGTGTAGTTTTGTAAGTGGAGAAAAACTCTGCTCCCCTGAAGGAAGTATGGCTCCCAGAGCAGCTTTCTCCCCTGCCGTGGGCCACCTACAGTCCCCTATCCTTGATGTCATCATTAAACTGTTCCCCCATTACTCTAGAAGAGAGATTGGAGGGCCAGATGTTCCCAGAGTGGGAACATCCCAAGGCAACACAGTAAGCAAAGGAAGCTGAAGGAGGCGGCTTAGATGTCTCTTAGGGAAAGCAGCCTTAAAAGAGCTCTGGCCTCTTCCTCCCTCTTGATAAATGCCCTTCGCTTCTCCAGCCAGAGCGGCTGCCAAGATTCAGTCTTGGTTGAGGTTATATGTTTTCCCTGAACAGTGGCCTCAGTGCGGTCTTTCTAGGGATTTGTAAGCTCTGAGAATGCTCACGGCCCCGAAGTCACTGCTTCCTCCCAACTCACTCTCCTGGAGGCAAGGAGGCCTCCACCTCCTATGCGGGATAAAAACTCCTGGATTGGAGAGATGGCATCTCTGCCACTGTACAGATGCACCAGGCCACTGGGCACCCAGGGCTGAGCCTTTGCTGCTCACCCTGGTGTTCGTGGGTTCTCAGAACAGGGGAAGAAAGGACTGGTGGGAACCCACCTGCTCCAGGGGGGCGGGGCCCACTAGTAAACAGGTAGCCACAAGCCTGGCAAGGGGGTGAAGTGTGCGTCCCCAGCCATGTGATTGTGTCACTTCTGTCTCAGCAAGGCCCCAAGGTCCTATGGAGAACTGGGACTTGGCAAGTGCTGGGAGGGAGCAGAAACTCCAGGGCGCATGAACGGAGTCCGGAATGTTCTAAGAAGGAGGCCGGGACCAGAGTGCCTAGCATAAGTGCCTGAGGGAGTTTGCAGTTGCTGCATCTTTGAGGATAACTTGAGGTTCTCTGGGAAGCAGTCAGAGAAAACAGGAGATTTGGGGTTACCCTTCACTAGCTGCATGCAGGCCATCCATTGGGCTCCCCATGAATTCAAGCCCTCCAACCCCGTCTTAGCTGGAAGCCTGGTTATTGGCTACCAGTCAGGGGACAGGGGAAGAGCACATTGAAATTTTGGGGGATACACCTGTAAAGTCTGCAAGGCATGCATCACATCCTAATACTCGCCTTGCAGAATGAGGAGCCCTGACTCCCCTCCCCCAAGTATCAGGCTTTAGGTTTTAGGATAAGTGTAACTAGTGCTAACTCTGGAATAAGAAGAGCCAGCTCCAACCCACCTCCTTCCTTCCACACTAGGATACATGTAAGTGGTGTGCTTACTCGAGCCCCCCAAATGCCCTCAAGCATGCCTTTTGAGCAGACAATCATCATGTCAAATACAAAGCCTAAATGCCCATGATCTGGATGGTTCTGACTTGAATCAGGGCCTTAGTGCCTCCCTGGTGCCTGGGACTCTGAGTTCTTTGACGCTGTAGCCCTGAGGTGAGGATTTTGCCTGTCGGGGTCAGAGGACTTCTCAAATTGAAGCTGATCGGATGTGTGGATAGCCAGAGTAGATGGCATCCTCTGGTTACTGTTTGCAAGGACAATGTCTAGAAAGGACTCTCTGGTCACTTCCTTCAGCCCTTCTTGTAAGACCCTGGCAGTTATTGTTATGAGTCTTCGATGACACCTGCAGTGGCCCCGAGGGACTGAGTCTGCACATGGCACTTGAGACCTGAGTGTGGCTTGTGATGGAGACGGCTAGTGAAAAGGTCCCTGTGCCCTGTGCCCTGTGCCCTGTGCCCTGTGCCCTGTAAGCTCAGAAGGGCAATGAAGGCTTAGCTGGCTGCCCGTGTCCTGACCAGAGACTGAGGATTCAGTATAACTCAGCTTAAGGGTTTCTTGAGTTCCTACAGGAACAGTCTCTAGGCTGAGTTTAGATAAAACCGAAAGCAGATGGCCTCAAGGAGATCACAATGGAAGGCTGAGGCAGAAAACAGCAGGGGTGTAGACAGGAGGCTTTGCTGCTGTGACACATCCTTCTTTCACCTCTTCCCCAGATTAACTTTCCCGGCTCCTCCCTTGGCTTTCAGCTCAAAGACATTTCCTTGAAGGAGTTTTTGCTGCCTCGGGTGACTCAGGTAATTTCTGGTTATATACTCTCTCTGGGCTACAGGTTCCACTCCCCAGCAGCGCTTGTCCCTGATAATATGTACAGTTCTCTGTGTAGCTATTGGATTACCTCATGTCCCCTGGCTAGGCTGATTAGAGGAGGGCAGGACCATTTCCTTCTGCACACCATGCTGGGTGCCAGGCAATGCTGTGAAGACCCAGTGGAAAGTACATGGGAAGGAAGTGGATACAGGACTGGGTCACTGTCAGAGTTCTGCCAGTGCACAGCTGGCGGCCACTACAAGGACGGGACCTGGCAGAAAGGGAATGGGAGGGAAAGGCTTCCTGAAGGAGCTGGTGGGTTAGGAGAAGCTAGGAGGTGTTGGCAAGTGGAGATGCACCAGTTATTCCTAGTGGAGTAAGTACAGATGGCACTAATGGCGGGGACCAAGATACAGACCTACTGCCAGCTGCTGCAGCCTGAGAAGTTCCTTTCATCTTTTAGGGACCTCAGCTCAGGTAAAACTGGACGCTCAGTTTCAAAGCAGAAGAGAATTTCAGGACCAGCCGGTATGAAGCAAAGTTGGAGTTTATTAAAATGAGAAAGGTAGATGTGGTGGTCCAGCCTTTACTCTTGGCTCTGGGGAGGCAGAAGCAAGAGGATCTCCGTGAGCTGAAGCTCAGCCTGGTATATATCCAGGTTAGCCATGGGTACACAGTGAGACTGTCTCAAAGAAAATAAACAAACAGAAAGAAAGAAAGAAAGAAAGAAAGAAAGAAAGAAAGAAAGAAAGAAAATAGAAAGGCGCTCAGAGAGAAAGAAAAGAGTTCACATCATGGTTGTCAACTTCTCAAAGAAAACTTGTAGTTTATTAGAAGATATGTTAATACAGTAGGTTTTATTCTTTGACAGTTTCGATATAAACAATGCATCTTTGTGCATCCCTGACTCCCCTTTCCCACTCCCCTAAGAATACCCAGCATATCCCCCTTCCCTCTTTATGTCTTTTCCTTTCTTTTTAGTAGCCCCCTGAGTCCCATTAGCACTGCTAGCTGGAATGGCGACTGGCCTTGTTGGCCTAATCTTGTTCAGGTCCTGTGCAGCTTACTGTATCTGCAATGAATTCATGGGTGTAATGGCCACATTGTGTCCTACAGACAGCATTTCATAGCCCTCCTCCTCATCCTCTGGCTCTTACCTTCTTTCTGCCCATCTCCAGTGTTCCCTAAGCCTCAAGGTGGTGGGAAGGAGTTGCCCATTTAGAGATAAGCCTTCTCAGCACTTAACTGCTGACCACTACAGAGAGAAGCTTCTTGAACTAAGGTTGAGGGCAGCACTGTGTGTATAAACATAAACATTTAGAAAGCTCTCAACAGTGTGTCCATTTAGCAAAACAACAGTAATGGGCTCCTTCCTAGGGCCTGTAATTTCTTGAGTCACAGGCTTTGGGCCAGGTTAATGGTACCAGGCTTGAATTCCTTCCTAGAAAGCAGGCCTTAAATCCAACTCAGAGGCAGTGGTTACCTCCACAGCATTCACGCCACTATTGCCCCGGTTGGAAGATCTTGTCTGGCAGGTCAGTATTGTATGTAACAAGCAGTGTCGGCTGCAGGATGCCCTGATGTCTTCTCTCCCATGGCAGTTTTCTCATTCATCACTAGGAACGCTAGTCAACAGGGAGGAAGCTTTCAGGCCCGTTCCAGCTTAACTTCTCCATGTTAAAAGATTTCTAACATAGATTTAAGCACGGACGATAACAGAGAGAGGTGTCCTAGAAAAGAATAAGACAGACCCAAGTGCACTCACTGTGGGCTCCTCGACAGAGACACAACTAAGTGTGTTAGCACTAGCCATGCACACCATTTTGCTGGCTCTCGAGTTACATCTCAAAATGTTGTTCTTTTCCTTCTCTTGTTGGTAAGTGCGATGACAGGGTGGCTCTGATGCTTGCATGGGACTGTAATCTGATCAAGTAAACCCAGGAGCCACTCGGGTTGTGTGGAAGGCTGGGTCACATCTCTTTCTGTAAATAGGGTTTCTCGGGAGATTCCTGGAAAAACTGTTGGCCTAGAGCTGGTTTCTGAAGGGAGAAAGGCCTTGTGATGAGAATTCCTGGAAAGAAGTTGTCTACATTGGCAGATTAACTCATTAGGCCTTCAAATAGGTGGAGGGGTTGGAACTGTGCAGTTTCAAGCCAAATTGCAGTTTATGTGATCATCGGCCCTAATAAGCAGCCATCCCTCTCCCTGGCTGCGCCAGACCTGACGTCCTGCCATTTGCAGGCCTGATAGCCTAAGAATAGTGGAAATCTTTGCAATGCAATAATGTGGAAGAACTCTGTTGTCCGCCACACCAGGGCTAAGACTGCTATAACAGCTAATGCCCACAACCGAGGGTTCTCCACCATGCTCTGCCTACTTAACCTTTCCACAGATGATTTTAAAACCACTTTGATTTATACGTTTCTCTGTGCTGTTGCCATTAAAAACCCCATGAACTGTTTCCACGTTAGAGCATGGAACCTGTGGTCTCTCCCACCCAGCTCCGTGGTCACCTGTGGTCAACCAGCTCCATGTTCCTGGCCATGGTCACTCATACTTTTACTCCAGAACGGATTCTCTCATTACCTTTGAGTTGGGAACTGTTGTTTTTGCCTGGACAGTCTAAACAAGTGTTAACTGTGTGGACATTCTTGATTCTCACCTGGCGAGAGGCTTCAATCAGACTGTGAGGTAATGACTACTTTCCCTTCCCAGGTCCCCATAATTTTCCCTTTCTATCCCATCTCAGTGGAAGCTGCAATTCTCTGTAACACAGGTTAGGAGCAGATTGGGAAACGAGATAATGGCAGCAAGATGACTCCCAGGATTGTGACCTTGGGATGCTCCTGGGGGATTGTGACATTGGGATGCTCCGGCAAAAGGGGCTGGTCCCAGAAGGGTTACAGCAATTAGGACAAAACCAGAGCAGAACAGGGACATCCAGTTAAGGACACAGCACAGGCCCACCCCTCAGCTACATGGGAAGAGGGCTGGCACCAGAGTCCCCCCTAAGCAGCTGTGCGGCCTCCATGGCATGCAGGCTGGGCAATAGGACAATGCCCCGCTGAAGTGCCTGAGGTGTGGTTCTCACCCAGTCTGCTGCAGTGATCTCTGCCTCTCCTCCTTCATCTGGTCTCTGGAAGGTGGAGACATCCAGATGTCCCGCACGGCAGGTGTGTGTGATACAAGGTGTCCTGGACATTCTCTGCTTGGTCCTCAGGTCCTCCCTCCACCCTTCTCCGCCCTTCCCTGTGCCTTGGGAGGAGATTCTTCGGGGCTGTCAGCCTAGCTGACTCACCTTTGGCTTCCACTGGGTTTAGCTGTACGCACAATAAAAACCTTATCAGGTCTCTGTGCCCATGTTGCTGGCACCTTGGAATTTCCTGTGTGATAAGGAATGCTTTGTTATGCATAATGACTTTTTTTTTTTTTTAAAAAGTCACCAGAGTTCATGCTAATGAGATGACTCAATATTGGGCCGGTTAGCTTCCCAGAAGGACTGGTCACCAGAACAGACTGAATGAATCCTTAAAGGCCCAGAGACTTTAGCTCCACCCTAATCTCCACAGAGGGAGAGGGCTAGGGAGAGGGTTATAGAAGAGATCTGGGGAGATGGTGTGCCCATTGAAGGTGTGAAAGCCATGGAAGTTCTGTACCACCTGCACACACACACACACACACACACACACACACACACCACCTGCCAGGCAAGCCTGTTCTGGGTTCTTTCACTGGGTAGTTTCCTGCTAAGGACTACACTTCCCAGCTTCCCTTGCAGCCAGGCCAAGATGCTCTGGAAAGAAAGAAATATGGTATGGTAGTCATTTCCTCCCCTATAAGGGATCCCACCTTCTTCTGTGGGCATTTTGCATCCACACATGGGGTGTGACCAGATGCGTCTTACCCTGTACATGGTCCCGCCTACCTGAGGTCAGAGACTTCCTTCTTCCTGCCCTTTCTGTCCCTCTTTAAGCACACATGTCCCTTGTAATCTAGCCGTAAACTGCTGACCATGGGTGTCTCCTGAGCGCCATAACTCCTTCTAGTGAATTACTGAACCTATGAAGAGATTATGTGAACTCCAGGTATGTAGGAAGGCTGCCTGGACCTTGTGCCTGCCGTCTGAAGTGAGGGCACTCTTGGGACTCTGGACTAACTCTGGAACATAATATTGTGGCAGGATAGAAAGGGAAATCATGGGGACATAGCATGGGGGAGCCCCTCACCGCAAGCTAGCTAATGTTTGTTGTCAGCTAAGACTCAACAATTCTCACTTAACATATACTGTGAAGGTTCTTGGACATTGAAGCAATATTTCATTTATAAAGAAGTATTTTCAAATAAGAGTGCTAAGATAACAAAGAACCAAGATGAAGGTCTTAGTAGATATAACTTCAGGTATGGCCTCACTACTCTCCTAGACATTTTCTGGGAATCTCACAAATAAGACTGAGGCAGGAGAATTGGGAGAAGGCACGGAAGAAATGAGTCCCTGACCCAAGTATACCAGGAGAAAAGCAAGAATTCTAGCATCAACTGCTTAACACCTTGTTCCCTTCTGAGTTGTAAACCTGCAAATTCTAGGCATCTCACCAGAAACCCCCGTTATAGGAAGAAGATGGGTACTAACCCCATTGTGCAACCAAAATTCACCTCTTTGAATTGTGGTTCCTTTCAAGGCATCTCTGGAGCTCCCACACTATCAAAAGATAGAAAAAGAGTTTCTTAGAAATCTTTTGAGATATAACTTGAGAGCCAAACAAAATGGTATACAGGGCTGATGCAGAGACAGTTAATCATGCCTCTCCTTTCTCCGGAGCTACACGTGGTATGCCTGACTCTCTCCCACTCTCTTAGGGGGCACAGACCTACCCTCAGAAGTCTATGTTGTTTTTTTCTGAGCACTTTTCTCAGAAGGGAACAAGGTGTTTAATTCTTAAGATTTTTTTGACATTTAAACAATTTGTGTGTGTGTGTGCTCACACACACGTGTAATGCTTTGTAAGTGTGTGTGTGCATGTGTGTACTGTGTGCATGCACAAGCGTGTGTATGTATGTGTGTGTGCCACAGCATGCATGTGGAGGTGAGAGGACAGGAGAGCTTGGTTGTGAGTGGGGGCAGCGCTCACACTGATGAATCAGCCGCCGTGGAGTGACCACACACGTGCCGAGTCCCACCCAGGGCAATCATCCTGGCAAGCCGGCTGTTTGCCACCTGACGGCTCTGGGAACAACATATTGACTAGACCTTTTTTCTGAAAAACAAGGAAGCTACAGTGGGGGAGGGAACCAGCTATTCAAGGTGACTTCTGTTGGGGAAATGGGGTCCCCTTATTTGACTCCTGTCTCCCTCCCATTTCATCAGAAAAGGCACTTAGCAAACTCTCGTTAAATTGTGTTTACATTATCTAAGGTCTCAGGTCAATTAATTTTAAGCTTTTGTGCTCATTTCTCTCTGAAGAATACCTGCCTCGTTTTATTTTTCTCATTTTACTGTGTTATTTTGAGAGTAACCAGGGAACAAATTTCCAGCCCCGGGAGGACATCTTATCTTACGGTTTTGCTATTTTTTTTTTTCTCATTTAAAGAGTTCTGTTTGCTGCCTTCTGTCCCTTTCCCTATACTCTACCTTGAATTTCACTCCAGCCAAGCAAGATGACATTGGTCCCCGTTTGCAGGAGAGATAGGAATGGGTTGAGCTCCATGATTCACCAGTGGGTAGTCCAGGGTTGTCAGATGTGGGGTAGCACAGGGTGGGGTGGTAGAGGAAGGAAGGCAGAAATGAAGAGTCAGGTAGAACAGAGTACAGCAGCCTTCTCAGAGTGGTCCCTACTCCCCACACATCTTCCCCCTTGCCAGAGAGACACTGCTACTGAAGGGCTCCTGGGAGGCCCCAGATGGACCTGGGCTGTGTGGAGGGAGGAGGCTCTGAGGCCCAAGGACTGGCAGCTTCGGGAACTCAAAATGAAACTAGGAGATAAACGAAGGAGATATGATGATCTGAACATACAGAAGACCTACTCCGGTGTGTACCCAGAGGTCTCTCCTATACGCCCCTCTTTCTCCTCTGCTCCCTGCTCCCTTCCCTCCCTCTAACCTATCCTGCCTCCCTCCCCCCTTTATGGAATTTCTCCTATTGATTTTCTCATGTCTTCTGGTTTTCTAGACTCGCTGTCGTCCATCACCTATGATATTATTTCTTTTTATTTCTTCTTTTAAACACTGCCTGGCCCATTAGTTCCAGCCACTTATTGGCTAGCTCTTACATATTAATCTAACCCATTTCTAATAATCTGTGTAGCCCACGAGCTGGCTTACCAGGAAAGATCTTAACCTGCGTCTGCCTCCGGTGGGAGTAGCTATGATATTATTTCTAACCCATCTGAAGCCTTTCTTCATCTCCTTCTCTCTTCATATCCATCTCTGTGTGTCTGCAATGGAGGACACCAAATGGATGACAGGTGACTCTGCCTTGCAGCTGAGGCCTTCTGTCGAGTTCCTTTTTAGCCCCAGAGGCCACTTACAATAGCAATTGTATCATATGTATTTGTTTGGTCTCCCAGCCTGTTCCAAGTGTTTAATTTTTCATGATGAATTTGTTTTGTCTCCTCTGCTTTCCCATGAGCATGGCAGGGAGTCCATTCTCCTCGGCAGCATCTCTCCCCAGGCCTTCCTGCCAGGCCCCACCACCAGGGGTGCTCAGGAAACAGGTTGAAGCAGTGATGTCGCCTCTCAGCCACCCCACAGGCTTCGAACTTTCTCTGCCCAGTAGAAATCATTGAATTCGGGAGAGCAACACAGAAGAGGACATGGTGGCTAGAGCAGACGTTGTTCCTCAATGGCCAACCCCAATGAAAATATTCTAAATGAAGAGTACATATTTAGCTCAAGGAAGTCACTCGGTGCTTCTCCCTCAATGCTACCAGGATCTTCCCTCCCCCATGGCAATATTGGCCTGGCCTGTGGGCTAAGAAGATCTTTCTCACTATTCTTCAAGTATTTGCACATTCGCCCAAATGCAGAGTAACAGGGCAAGTAGTTCCAAAGCTACAGAGAAACCCTGTCTTGAAAACCAAAGGAAAAAGAGAAAAGAGAAAAGAGAAAAGAAAGGCTCTTACCATCAGAAAAGCCCTAGCAAGGAGAAAGCATGCCTTAAAATCTTACAGCTTCCTTCTGATCTTTCTTCCTTAACCTGCCAACTAAATGCCCAAACCATAAGGAGTCCAGCGCTTTATCCAGTTCTGCATGCACCCAATGGGAGGAGCCTGGGCCCTTGAGTGACAGCGTGGAACATAGCTCTTGCTTCTTCTTCCATCTTGACCCCTGAGCCAATCAGTCGCACACTATGACATGAGGAAGAAGGACAGTTGATTTTGTATTCACTGAGTTTTGACAGCTGTCTGTTTCAGCATTTCCCTTCCTTGAGTAATACAAGAATTTTTTTCTTTCTTTGAGTAAAAAAGTTCCTTTAAAACAGTGGTTTTCAACCTTCCTAATACTGCGACCCCTTAATAAATATACAGTTCCTCATGTTGTGGTGATAACCCCCCAAATAATTTCATTGTAATTCATAACTGTAACGTTTCCACTGTTATGAACTGTAACATAAATATCTGATATTCGGGCTATCTGATATACAACTCCTATAAAAGGGTCTTTCAACCCCCCAGAAGGGTCGTGATCCACAGGTTGAGAACCTCTGCTGTAACACAATGACCATATGAAGCTGGATAGAGAGGAGCAGCGACAAGCTGTGTGACCACGATGTGTGCTATGCTTGGGTACTAGACCCCAGCGCTGCCTGGGATAACCTGTGATAAACTGTGTGACCAGGGTCTGTGCTATGCTTGGGTACCAGATCCCAGTGCTGCCTGGGATAACCTGGAAGTCATCCATGCCTAGGGGAAGAGGATGCAAGCCGGAAACAAGAATGCTAGTCCCGGTACTGCCTGTGCACTGCATGCAGCAAGAGGCCAAAAGAAAACCTTGAATGCCATGAAGAATGAATGGTCAGTCTGTGAGAAGGAAACAGAACAGAATCAGGAACAGAGGGCCTCTCTTAGGACATACTTCCCCTTTGGTCTCAGTTTTTACTCCTCCATAAAAAAGGAAGCCCTGTGTAAGTAAGGATTTACGAGCTATTGGAATAATCTCCAAATTGCAGAGGCTCATAACAATGAAGGTTTCTTTCCAAGACACTATTTTTTTTTAGAAAGAGAGAGAGAGAAATAGAGAAATTATGTGCAATAAGACCCAATGAATCTTTCTTCTCAGATAAGCTTAGTGAGTTAGTCCTGAGACAAAACAACCATTTCAGGGACTATACCCTGCCTACAAAGCCAGGGAGTCTCAAGGCAGCCACTGCTAGGTTGAGAAAGAATGACATCAGCAAGCTGACCCAGAAGAGCATTCTATGTGTAGTTACTACATGGAAATGGTTAGAATAAAAGCTATTGGAAGCCCAAGTTTTTGAAGGAATCACATTGCCAAAGAAGCCAGGAGCCTGTGTTTATATCTGTGGATCATCCAACATACCCAATGATCCTAAATGTTCAGCTGGATGCAGGGGCTTGGGAGCTATGCTTAGCCTCACTGGCGAGGGAAGGGGCAAGAGGAAGGAAACTCGGGGGCGGACTGTTGGGGCCTGTGGACCCCCAGATCCTGAATTTCCTGTGACCCCTGCCTGCTGGAGAAAACAGCTTGTTTTCCTGTGTTTGCAGCTGTTCTGAGCACGAGACCCGGATGGGAGGGGAGTGGTTTCTGGTGACTTGCAGCTGAAGGATCCGGAGAGCTAGGGTGTGGCCATTGGTCAGGGAAGGCACTATATAAACTGCCCTGGAACACAATAAAGTTGGCATTCTTGATTCGAGGGGGCATTCTTGGCATTCTTGTTTCAAGGATGACTCCTCTCTCTCTCTCTCTCTCTCTCTCTCTCTCTCTCTCTCTCTCTCTCTCTCTCTCTCTCTGTGTATGTGTGTGTGTTTCAATCTCTAGCCCCTTGCCTGACTCATGAGTCGTACTGTAGTGCAGGCATAGCGCATGAGGCGTTGCGTTACAGTGGACTACAGCACCAACAGCTAATCTCACCTACTCTGAGTTCCCACTGCAAATACTGTATTAGTTAGTGCAGGCTGCTGAAACAAAACATTACAGCCTGGGTGTGCTAAATCATAGATATTTGTTTCCTTAGTTTAGGAGGTCAAAAGTCTAAGGTGGAAAGGGTCACAAAAAGTTTGGTTTGTTTTAAGGTATTGGTTTGTAGATTGCCACTGTGGAAATCAGGTATGCCTTGATCTTGGCAACTCCACAGTGTGTAGAACAGTGGCCTTCAGCCTATGCCGTGCCCTGGGGTGACTCCATTTTACAAGGGGCAGCTGGCTCCTTTTTGAGTATAAATCCAGAGGCTGGGTGATTGTGTGTCATTGTGCATGCAGTTGCTACCACTTGTCCAGCACCAGCCATGAACCACAAACACCCAGGATTCTGACAAATAGCTTGTTCTTGAAAGTAAGAAGATCGCACACAGAAACTTCTCCAGCATACTGGACTCATGTCAGCACGAGTGTAATTAAAACCATGGTGCATGGGTTTAATTAAAACCACAGCATCAAAATCATGCCCAAGAACTTACCAAATACACCGTACCGATGGAAGGTAGGACACCCCCACCTGGACCCCATGAACAGGGGGTTCTTAATACCTGGTCCCACTGCCCTGTCATCTACCTGCTTCAGTGTACATCAAGGCATTGACGGGTGGAGAACTGTCAAGTGTCCCTCGGGTATCGGCTCAGTTGCATCTCACTGCTTGACAGTGCCCATCTGAACTGCTGTTTCTTCATCCATATGTTCTTGGGTTTGGTCTTGCCCCTCCCTTCCACAGTCCTCCAGTCCTATACCTTGATCTTATGACCTCCATAGTCTTGTACTTCTGTGGTTTGACTTAATCCTGCAGTTGGCCTTAATCCTGCAATCCCGTTGCTTGGTTCTGAGTCCCCAACAGCTCTCTAAGAGGGCTGGCTCCTCAGTATCTCTCTTGTCTAATCCCCTGCCTCTATACCAACTCTCTGCCTGTCTCCACATTCGTGAACTCTCTGAATCATGATGCCTTCTTCAACCCTCTTGTAACTATTTTGTAATGGTTACAAAGAGAATTCTAATGATTGTGAGATGCATAATGTGTGATATAAGAATTAATTTTACTATTTAAGATTAGGATAAAAGAGCCTATGATTGCCCATGGCCAGTTCTCAAGGGGAACCAGAACTACTTGGCAAATTGCAGCCAATGACACCAACATGACTCATGAATTTACTGTTACTCGATAAATTGTGACAGTGTGAAATGACACAAAACGCATCCATCTGTGTTTCTGATATAGAGTGTTCATGACAGCTGTCTTCATATTATGCTCAAATGACTGTTCCTCTCTGTGTATAAGGCCCTAGCATCTCTTGGCTGTTCAAATCTATTCTTGTTAGGGTACCAGTCATACTGGATTAGGGCCTGCCCCAACAATCCCATTCAAATTTAATCAGCTGTTCTGATGCCTTGAGTCCACATACGGTCACATTCTGAGGTTCTGGAGTCAATGGTGTCAGAGTGTGGGTTGTGATAGGCAGTGGAGGGTGGCATACAATTTATCATATAATAGGAATACCTCAGCCCCCTCACACCTAGGCAGCCAGGAAACTAGTTCAGTGGATCGTGAATGGTTGTAGCATTTTCAAGCTGGCCCCTAAGACCCCATGATCCCTTTCATAGTCTTCACGAGACCCTAGGAAAAGGAGAAGCCATATGATAGCAGGAGCCCATGGATGTGCCTGGAAGAGTCCTCCAAGTCCTACCTGTCCCGCTGTGACTAAGAAACTGTCACTATGTTAAGCACCTAAAACCTCTGGTCTTGCTTACAGCAGTTAGCACATCCCCAAGAGATCATTCATCTTGAGGAGCCCGCATGAGGCAAAACAAGGAATGATTGCATCAACACCTGGTACGTGCTTAATAAGTTATGGCTGGAGTCATATGGCTGAGATAAGCTTTCCCAACAGAGTGAGAAAACTGTTCCTCGTGGTGTCTAGCTGCACACTCCAGGCCGCAGTGAGAGAGCACAGTGAGCCGGTTCCCATCTTGCTGGCTGTGGAAGGACAGATCAGATTCCGCACATGGTCCTCAGTGCCATCCCACCACTGCTGCTTGCCAAGAGGAAAACGTCTGCGGACTTCTAGAACTGTGTAATACATATGCAGGGATCCATTCTGGGGACCCAGGGGATTTGCTGAATGTCATTGGTTTGATTTCAGTGGTTGGTTCTGGGCAGAGTCGTCCTCTGGATTGAGGCCACTCCCTCGATTTTGGCAGCAGAGGTCAGGGGTAAACAACTCTCAGATAAGTCTAGTCATATTTGTTCCTACAAATGGAAACTATTTTAGGATGCAGAAGACAGTAAATACACATACCCAGGGTCCCCAACCACCCACTGAAAGGAAAACAAAAATTAAACCCTTCACCTTTATGAAGGACATAGTGAGGAGCCATACTGAAGAAAAGCTTTCATGCTGACCCAGGACCTCGCACAGCCTAGTCACGTGGGCTGCAGAGTCTGGAGGCCAGGCATAAACTGCCTGACCATTAGGCAGCGACCTACAGGTTGGTCAATTATTTTAGCTTTCTTTTACCTTTTTTTTAAAATGTGTTTGTGTGAGTGTGTATGTGTGCGCACACATGTGCACACACGCACACGCATGTGCATGTGCACATATAGCAGAGTACATATGTAGAGGTCAGAGGACAACTTGTAGGAGTCAGTTCTCTCCTTTCATCGGATGGGTCCCAGGGACAGACTCAGGAGCCAGGTTCGGTGACAAGTGCCTTGACCTACTGAGCCAATGTGCTGACTCTATTTCCGTTTTCTGAGCACCACTTCTTGATCTGTAAGTAGGAGTGGTCACAGTAGCCACGTCACCTCCCTGAAAGGTTTGTACGAGATTACACAAAATAACGGACAGGACATGGTCAGCAGAGAGCTAGCACCTAGCAACCGTTCAGTTCACGTTAACCATTAGCACCTCTGTCTGCTAGCATGGCCTCCAGCTCCCGCCCTCCCTGGCACCTCAGTTGCGGGTGAACTGGTTTACAGTACCCTGCGACTGACTCCAGGGTCAACTCTGCAGCCCACACGTCATCAACAACTGGCCTGCTGATCCCAGCCCGAGAGCACTTCATGTTTTCTGTCTGGACTCCAGTCAGTTTCCACCCTGCAGATTTCCTCTTCTCCCTGGACTTTCATTTTCAATGCACTGTTGTTTTGTTTGTTTAGAAAACGTTTAGTATGTGTGCAATCAATTTTACATATCTGGCATAATCATTATCGTAAGCCATCTCTTAACCTCCCTGTGCACTGTTCACTGCTTTTGTATTGGCTCTATGTATAATTCATCAATGCATTTTTGTGCTGCTAGTTTTCAATAGTCTCTGTATTAGCCCTTGGGGGAATAGAGAAGAAACGATGCTGTTTTACATAATATGCAAACTATATGTAAATAGATGCACTACAGCAAAGGGAAAGCTACCTGAGCTGCCCCTGATTCTTCCGTATTATGGCAAGAGCTCAGCCTGACTCCCAACATTTGTAGATGCTAGAAGTGTCATGGTCCAGCATGGGAGATTTAGGGGTGCTCCACGCAGGCCCGGGGCATGTGAGATGACTCCCACCTCCACCCCACTTCCCGCTGTCATCACTAATACTTCTGGTTTTGACAGTAGCCTAGAATCCATGTCCAAGCGGCCTTTGGAGAGAGCCTCAGGTCAGGCCCTGTAGCGCGGGTCTCCCCCACCTTCTTACAATCACAGCAACTTTGGGAAGAGGTTGAGGACCCCTGAGCAAGACTTGCTGCGAGCACGTGGAGGGTAGGCAGCACCCGGATGTGGCCGATGAGTGTTAAAGCCACTTCAGAAATCTAGACAGAGTCTGGGGAAGGAGTAATAATGGTCCCCATTAGGTTTTCTTTTGTCCTTATTTTTTTTTTCAAATTTTGTCTCCCCCACCCCATTTTTACCGATGTATTGGGGCCTTAGGAATCTTGGGTCTCATCTGGGTTCAACTTCCGGAGCTCATGTAACAGTTCATATACAGTCTGTAACTCCGGTGCCAGGGATCCCCCCTTCTGGCTTCCAAGGGCACTCACTGCGTGCATAGGGTGCACAGACATACCTGCAGGCAAAACTTTATACATGTAGCATACAAATACAAGCTAGAAAAAGGATCTTGGTTCTCCATCTTTGGCCTTGTTGTCCTGCTCAACTGACAAACACAAAAAGCGAAGGGGAGTCCTGTAGACTCGAGGCCTAGCTTCAGATAGGGAGTAAAAGGGAGGGAGGAAAAGAGAGTCCTTTGGAGAGGACGAAGAATGGGAGGCACTGTCTTCTCCAGGGGCTGCAGAAATCTGTTCTCTCCCTCCACCGTGTAGGTCCTGGGGATTGGCAGGACATGAGGATTGGAGGCAAGTGTCTTGACTCACTGAGACATCTCTAGCCCAGGTCAGTGATCGTTTTCTATGAGTAGACTTCCTGCGGTGTTTTATTCATTTCAGTGTGCTTAAACTCAGTGAGTGGGGCAGGAATGAAGGAATGAGGGTCTTTGGGCAGAGCCCCATTAGTCCAGATTTTCGTGTTTCTCTTTTGTGATCTGGGCATCTGTTGCAGTGGATGTCTCTGCAGTTTTATTTGAAGATCTTCTTATGGCGCAGCCTGTTTTTTGAAGACTCAATCCGAGGGCATTCCACCAAGAGAAAATAAACTTGTTTTGGAATTGGCCTTTACCTCCCCTCCTGTGGTCAGGGAGCTGCGTGGCTGGCACCATATCCAGCTTACTTCTTATCAGGGGATCACCACCCTTGGTTGGTCTTAGGTATCTCTTCTCTCCCTGTGTGGCTTCCCAAAGCCTTTCCTAGGAAGAGACTACTTTTCTCATCCCAGCTCTCCGCCACTGACTCACCTGGAAGCTGCTTTTACCCACTATCTTATTTGGACACAGAACAAATGACCTTAAACAATTGCACTCCAGAAAAGTCCAACCCCAGCATGGATGACGACCTCCTCCGAACCACACAGATGAGGACTTCTCACCATACACTCTTGAGTTTAGCTCAAAGAAGCCTATGGACCAGGGAGCCTCAACAAGCTGGAAAAAGCTTAACTGATAATTGACATCATCCTGCATTAGATGAGCCATGGCGCAGGGCACAGGAGGTTATGACAAACCTGGGATCTCGTAGGCTTTGTTTACTCGTGATTGAGTCCCAGGCTTTGCCCTGCGTACTGTACCGTATCATGGCCTCAGATTCTCCCAGAAACCCATTTCTGATGTGCAATCAAGGTCTGGAGAGGTCAGCTACTTGCCAAAGTTAAAATGTGGCAGAACGTGGATTTGGTCTTGGTTATTCTAATGCAAAGGCATTGACATTTTTCTTTTAGTCACAATTCACTTGCAAGGGCTCAGCATCATGCTCCATACAAGTAATAAAGATGAATCCAGAGATAGGATAAGACTAAAGTACAGCTTTAGACAAAGGCCCTCATGTTAATTGGGGGGGGGTGTGACTATAGATGACCCAGGGCTGGTCTCCAGGCTAGTCCCAAACTCTGTCATCAGGAGGGAACAAGGTTAAGTCTTCAGAGGGACCAACAGAATGAATGACTAGGAAGGAAGAGGCAAGAAAGAAGCGACAGCCGCTAGGTTAAGCAAACAAAACCCACACCTCTAGTGGTGGGCCATCCCATCCTCAGCCAAAGTACTTGATACTAAGCTTAGATTCTACCTCAGTAAGCCACAGAATTCACCCCACAGGGCAAATAGGGGTATTAAATACAATGGAAAAGCAAAAGCCATCATCAGTGTGAGTGTGTGTGTGTGTGTGTGTGTGTGTGTGTATGTGTGTGTATGCTTGCATGTGTGTGTTATTTTGTTTTTTAGATATTATAGAAATAACTATTAACCATTAGGAAGACAAAAATAATGAAGAGTTAGGTCAGCAGGAAAGAAAACAAGCCAGTCTCAATGCCTAATATCTAATAGCCCCTGAGCTTCTTATCCCTTGCCTTGCAGGGCAATGGGGAAAACACATTCATGCATTTGTTCGTTCTTAATCCTAACTTGGTGAACTGTATGTTAGCTATTAGGTTAGTTCTTGGGATGGGAGCACCCAGTGATCGGCCAAAATCTCTACCTCCAGGAACCTCCCAAGCTTACAGAGACTGTAAAGCATAAACACCCCCTCATTACTACCTGTGCAAGGACACTAGGTACAACCCAGACAAGGAGCAGATCACGGGACATGGATGTTAGATCACTGCCTACTGCCATTGATGAGAGGAGTCATGGGTGGTCACCTCTAGAAGACAAGTCCCCAATTTCATTTACTTAGTCACGCATAGTAAACATGTGGCTATTGGTAAACCGATAGAATTAAACAATGCTATGAGGTTCAATTATGCTTCTTAGATTTTTTTGTTTTGGTTTGGTTTGGTTTGGTTTGTTTGTTTTTTGTCAAATTGGCATGAGCTAGGATCATCTGGGAAGAAGGAATTTCATTTGGGAAGAAGGAATTTCAATAGAGAAAATGACTTCATCAGATTGGCCTGTAGGTGAGTCTGTTTTATTATATGTAATTTTTCTGTGTTAAAGTTAAAACCTTCCTTTTATTTAAACAGAAAAGGAAAGTGATGTGGAATTCCCCTCTGTATGCTCTGAATACCATTGGTTAATAAAGAAACTGTCTTGGCCTGTGATAGGGCAGAAGAGTAGAGCTAGGCAGGGAAAACTAAACTGAATGCTGGGAGAAGGAAGGTGAAGTCAGAAGAAGCTATGGAGCAGCCACCAGGAACAAACATGCCGAAACTTTGCTGGTAAGCCACAGCCACATGGTGATACACAGATTAATGGAGATGGGTTAGTTTAGGATATAAGAGTTAGATAGAAATATGCTTAAGTTATTGGCCAAATAGTATTGCAAATAATATAGTTTCTGTGTGGTTATTTTGGGAGTCTGGGTAGCTGGGAACACACAAGCAAACTCCTACAATAGGTTATATTTCTCAGTGCCACCAAACCACTTCTGATTCACAGGAAGGAATAGCAGGTTAAAGACACTCAGTCACTACCAGCGGCATCTGACCAATGATTGTTGAAATAGGAGCGGCAGGGCTGCGTCCCCAGCACCCCGGCTGCCTACTAGCTTATGCCCCGAAATAACAACACACAAATAGTATTCATTTAAACACTGCTTGGCCCATTATATCTAGCCTCTTCTCAGCTAACTCTCGCACCTGGACTAGCCCATTTCTAATAAGGTGTGTAAGCACCCCAAGGTGCACTTACCGGGAAGATTCTAGTCTACGTCCATCCTGGGTCAGAGCTTCATCGCGTGTGTCTCTGAGAGGAGCTATGGAGTCTGTCTGAGGAGTCTTACCTCACTTCCTCTTCCTCCCAGCATTCTGTTCTGTTTACTCCTCCCACCTATGTTTTAACCTATGAGCCCAAGCAGTTTCTTTATTACTTAACCAATGAACTTCCTCCAGCAAATGATGTCACTTTAAAGAACCGATCTTGACTTGTGAGTTGACAAGCTACAGCAGTATATTTGTATGAGTTGGGTCCCTTAAGTCTCTGTGGGCCTGCCCTTGAGGACAGTGACTAAGCTCAGAGCTCCTGACAAAGCAGTGAGCTCGCCCTTGGGTCCTGGCATCACAGGCCTTGCTGTTTGCCACAAAGAGTTCTGTTAGGACATAGAGCTCTGGTGACCATGTTCACCAGGGTTCACGTGTTGAGAAGGCGCTCCTGATGTTACAATGTTACAGTGTTGTGAGGCAGACCTTTAAAGGTAACAAGACACTTGCCCTTCCTGAGGGGAATAGTGCCATTATCCCTGAGGGGGAGTGGGTTTACTGTTGTTGCTCGAATAGTTTTGTTTTGGCAAGGGCTCACTCTATAGCCCAAACTAGCTGTGTTCTCTGGGTGATCCTCTTGCTTAAGTCTCCCAAGTGCAGGGATAGTAGAGCTCTGAGCACCCACACTGTGAAGAATAGGTTTGTTATGAGATGTCAGCCCCTTCTTGCTCTCTGGCTCTCCCAACTCTAATTCTCTTGACCTCTTATCTTCCACCTTCTGCCACAAGATGACACATCAAGAAGGCACCAGAGGCACCAACCTCATAGTCTTGTTCTTTCCAGCCCCCAGCAGCATGAAAAGCATTTCTCTGTGAAGTGTAAATTACTCAACTTCAGGTAGCATAAAATGGGCTAAGACTCCTGGCCACTCAGAGTCGACTGCTTTAAAAGAAAAACAAAATTCATCTCTTCCAGTGTGGTGTTTGCTGAGGCTAAGGGTGTGGAGTGCAGGTTTCCGGTTATGCAGCAGGTCATGTCCTTGCATAGAGAGTGGCGTGATTTTGTGGAAGCTGCCTTTATAAATGGCTCATGGTCGTTGCCCTGGGAGGGCAGTGTCTGCCTGAATGTCTGGGCTGGAGAATCCATCAGAGATGTGGCATGACGCCTGCGGCTGAGAATGTGCATAGCTGGAAGAGATTTAGCATCTGAACTGGTAGACAAAGCAGAGCTCACCCTCACTAGTGTGAGTGGCATCATCCTCTCTGGAGAAGACCAGACAGAACAAACGGAAGCATGAGAGCAAACTAACTCCCTCCTCGTGAGCTGAGACACCCATCCCCTTCTCACATCCCACACCAGTGCTTCAGGGTCTCCAGATTTGCAGTCCAGGATTTGCACGGGCAGCTCGGCCTCTCCTGTGGCCCTGTAGCTTCACACTGGAAGTCACACCATCAGCTCCCCTGGGACCTAGGTCTTCAGATTCGGCATTCTCGGGACTCCTGCTTGCAGACGGCATTTCATGCGACTTTATGGATGATGTAATCTATAAGCCCATTACCACATTGAATCCCCTTTGTACATCTCCACATGTCCCAGGGATTGACTAGATGTGAAGATACTGCATCCTTTCAGCTTTCTCCACATCTGGAGCAGCTGTAGCTGCCCTCTGTCTTATCTCCCACCCTTTAGATTTGTTAAAACAATTCTCCAAATTCTATTTTCATTTGGGGCATAGGAATAGGCTAAAAACTGGTCTTGCAAAAGATATTCGTATCCTTACTTATGGACTCTGTGAATATCAGCTCGTATGGCAAGGGGCAAAGGATTCCTACAAGAGTGATTAAGGTGGTGGTCCTCAACCTTCCTAATGCTGTGACCCTTTAGTACCTCATGCTGTGGTGACCCCAACCATAACATTATTTTCATTGCTACTTTATAACTGAAATATTGCTACTGTTATGGAATCATAATATAAATATCTGATATGAAAGATATCTGATATGGAACCCCCATGGGGGGGTCTCAACCCACAGGCTGAGAACCAGTGGATTATGATAAGGATTTTTGAGATGAAAGAGTATCCTCAATGCATTCACAGTTTTCCTTGTAAGAGAGAAGCGAATGGGGATTTCTTACTGGAACATAGAGAAGAGGATGGTATGACGTGGCTAAGGGAAAGATTGGAAAGATAAGAGCAATGTGGCCATGATTCAACAAACACTGGCACAGAATGGTGGCGCATGCCTATAGCCACAGCACTTGGAGGTGGAGGCAGGAAGACCAGTGTTCAAGGACAGTCTTGACAACCTAGTGAGTTAGAGGTCACTAAATACACACCATATAAATGCATGAATAAAGCAAAGCAAAACAAGCAAATGAAAAACAAGCCTGGAAGGGAGTTTAGACAGAAGTAGCTCTAGAGAGAGCATGGCCCTGCCGGTGCCTTCATTTTGGCAGATGATACCAATTTTAATCTTCTGTCTTCCAGAATGCAATAAAGATAGTTTCAGAAGAAAAAGCCTCTAAAGACTGTACAGTGTGGGACCTGGTGGGACAGGAAACCTCAGTCAACAGGGGTGGGCCTTGAGTATCAGATGCTCAAGACAGGTCCAGTGACTCATCAGTTCTCTTCCTGCTGCCTGCAGATCAAGATGTAGAACCCTCAGCTCCTCCTCCAGTGCCATGTCTGCTGCACGCTGCCATGGTTTCCCACCATGACTCTAATGGACTAAACCTCTGAGCTGTGAACAAGCCCTAACTACACGTTTTCCTTTATAAGAGTTGCCATGGTATCTTCTCACAGCGATAGAAACCCTAAGACACCCTCCGTGATCCCATTCGGAGCTTGGCGGAACATAGTGAAGTCTGTCTGTTCTACAAAGAAGAAGCCAATACAAAGCTCTCTTTAAGTCTTTTTAAGTAGTTCATATCTCAAGAAAACAATAGGTAATCTACCTTCCACATATGCTAAGCAGCAGGCATGGAGATAGTTCATCTGACAGCTTCCCTTCCTCCATGATCCGGGTACTTTGGAGGTCACCATCTACCATCGGTCACAGTCAGCATACACACTGTCCTCTTGGTTCCTCTCTGCTCTCCTCCACGTACTAACTCATGGCAACGCCCTTTCCAAAGCCAAGAGAGTTTGGCTCACAAAAGTGCCGATCCTGTAGTAATCGCTCAGAGATCCCCAAGGGCTCGTTCACATGTGTGAACCCCAGACCTCTTCACTCTTAGCCTTGGTCTTATGTGCATGTACACACAGGAGCACCCCTGGGATATTTTTAAATATCTGTTGGGAAGGTTAGAGAGCTGTCCTGTTGGCAGGGTAAGCTCACCCAGCACTAAGCAAGAATGTTATTGGGAGCATGAATCTATTTGGGAAGGAAAGGGTGCTACCTTAGTTAAGATTTCTGTGAAGAAACACTATGACCATGGCAACTCTTCTAAAGGAAAACATTTAATCGGGGCTGATTTACATTTTGGAAGTTTAGTTTATTATCATCATGGTGGGAAGCATGGTGGCACACAGGCAGACATGGTGTTGGAGAGGTAGCTAAAAGTTCCACGTCTGGATCCACAGGCAACAGCAAGAGGAGACAGGCTAGCCTGGGTTGAGCTTTGGAGACCTCAAAACCTCAAAGTCCTCAATGAAAGTGATACACTTTCCCCAACAAGGGCACGCCTCCCAGTAGCCCCAGTCCCTGAGAGCCTATGGGGCCGTTTTCATTCAAGTGACCACAGGTGTTTTGTCCAGTGACAGACTGTGATTCACCAGGTCTGAAGGCGTCAGAGAGTCTGCACTTCTAATAAGCTCCCTGGTGAGTCTAAAGCTGCTAGTCCAGGGTCCACATTTTGACTGAAAAGAGATAAGAATGACCTCCCTATCCCAGGGGAGCCTGCGGGGACTGCAGGGGTAAAGCTGGAGAGGGAGGGTGTACTGGGATGCTGTCTAATGGGGAAAGATCTCAGAAAGCCTGTGTTTTCTCATGATCTCACTACCTCTAATCAACCCACTTAAAAAATGGGCACTGGAGGTATTTTTTTCAGCCTAATGCATTGGCGGGAGGGAGTAGAATATTCCTTTCATACAATAAAAATCCCCCCGAACCAACTTCAGACACACAGAGCAATCTTTTGAAAGCCAAGGACTGGCAAGAATGCTGCTCAGTCCCCTAGGAATTCACACTCTCCTGAAATGTGGGCCCAAAGCAGAAAACCAAAAGAAAGACTGTAAAAAAGGAAGAGGGGATGCAGTGGTCATAAGCTGCAAGTTGTATTGACCTGAAAAATTTTAGAAGGGATAAAAAAATCTGGATGGAGTAGCGGAAAGTATAACGGGAAAAAAAAATGCAATAACTTTCACTCAGACATATCCAGTTATCAGCTAGGAAACACAGGCAGGGAGGTATCCCTTCAGCTACAACAGCAAAAATAAAGCAAAAGGGGAAATTAGCTTGGAAATTAATGTGCACTCGTAAAGGGGCAAGGTTCCTAGCAGGGCGTGAACAGTCCTCGCCGTCTGACCCTGTGTCAGGGTGTGGCACAAACCCGCTCACTGGTATCACAGTGCTTGTGGCTTGAGGGCTGTGGGTGTCGTGTTTAGGTCACTGGACTCTGTCCCTTCTGATGTCAGCATCTTTGGGGTCTTCTCGTCCTGGGTCCTGGATATGATTCACCGTCCTCCCATCTGGAGCACCAGGTACCATGTGTCCTGGAGAGGAAGATGGGGAAGGAGGCTGTAGAGTCTCCCCGCCATCGCCACCTTCACAGACCCTCCCATTTCCTGATGACACCACCACTGTCACTTGGGCCTGTAGCCCCAGCCCAGCACCCTGTGCTTTTTCCATGGAAAGACAGTCCATTATATGGTGACCATGGATGTCTGCTTGCATCAAGATAGTTCAGGTTTGCCTGGAGCTTGCTGTCCTCCTACCTCAGCCTCCCAGTGCTGGGATTGATCGGACCTAAGTGCCACCACCCAGTCCTCCTGCTTGAACATTTCCTTTGCCTTCTTTTTCAGGAGGCACCCCTTTCCTGCGCACCCCCAGCTAGAGTCTCACCTGCCCCCAGCTGCCTCCCTGTGCAGCTGTGCCTGGCTAGCACAGGTGGAGTGTGCAGCTGCTTCCTGGTCTGATTCCACAGCTGTCAGCTGAGCCCGGGTGCTTCTTGTCTGCTTGCATTTATGTCTTGAAAGAATTCAATATGTTGTCTCGAATGTTATCAGATAGCCATCAATCCATGGACCCAAGTGGAAAACTTCTGGTATCGACTGCATATATTACAGCACAAATCCATTTTCAGGAGAAGTGAGGACGGAGAAGGAAAAGTCACAAGGCCAGAGGAAGTGGGAATCCAGTTGTTTAGAACACAGTGGGACAATGGTTTTACCCTGTAAAGATTTATTTCTTGTACTTGTTTAATAAAATGCTGATTGGGCAGTAGCCAGGCAGGAAGTATGCGGGAAGTGGGGGAGGCAGGAAGTAGAGGTGGGGCAATGAGAACAGGAGAATTCTGGGAAGAGGAAAGATTCAGTTTGTAGTTGTCACCCAGACACAGAAGCAAGATGAGAATGCCTCACTGATAAAGGTACCAAGCCACATGACTAACACAGACAAGAATTATGGGTTAAGATGTAGAAATAGCCTGAGCTAATAGGTCAACCAGTTTATAATTCATGTAGACTTCTGTGTGTTTCTTTGGGGCTGAACTACTGCGGGACCAGGCAGGACAGAAATCTCAGTCAACAGAATACACGGGTTCTTTTTCCCTTTTAAGGGGTGGGGGAATAAGTAAGCCGAGAATTGTTTAGCCCTCTTAAATGACTTTTTTTAAAAATATGTCTGGGTGTTTAGCCTGCCTGCATGTCTGTGCACCATGTGAATGCAGTGCCCAGGGAAACCAGAAGAGATTGTCGGAACCCTAGGACTAGAGTCACAGACAGCTGCTAACCTCCATGTGGGTGCTGGGGATCAAATCCAAATTCTCTGGAAGAGCAGCCTGTGTTAACTGCTGAGTCATCTTGGGTCCTTAAATGACATCTTTTAAGAGAGCAAACCTCCTTCACTGAACAAGTTGTCAGTAGGTATTAAGACTCTTAGAGCTAGAGCTGGCTCAGAGGTTAAGAGCACCGGCTACTTCTGCAGAGGACCTGGGTTTGATTCTCAGCATCCACACAGCAGTTCACATCTGCCTGTAACTCCAGTTCCAGGGATCCAATGCCCTGGAGGCATTGGGTACACATGCATGCAGGCAGGCAAACACGCACACACATAAAATAAATATAAATCAATCTCCTCTTTTTAAAAGGAGTCTTGGAAGCATGCCAACTGTTATGATCTGCTGCTGGCTTGTCCTGCCACTTGGGTACCCTGTCCCTTTAAGAGACAAGCCCCACCCACTCCCCCCTTCAGCCAAGGCAAACAGATCTGCTTCATCCCACCAGCTTGTTCTCTCTCTCTCTCTCTCTCTCTCTCTCTCTCTCTCTCTCTCTCTCACACACACACACACACACACACACACACACGCTTGCTCTCTTTTGCTCTCTCTGGCTCCCTCCCTCTCTCCCTGTCTTCCCCCTCCCTCTCTCTCTCCCTCTTCTTCTTCTCCTCTCCTTCCATAACCCACTAAATAAACTCTATACCCAAACTCTCTCTGCATGGCCTGTCTCTCCTACCTGCCGCTGCCCCCCTCAAGACTCCCACCGTTTTAGAGAATAACACCAACTCTTCACCCTAATTGCCGCAGCACTGAATTATTCCAAGGAACAATCATAACATCTTGGATAAGCTCCCTGCACAAAGGTGTTCATCAAATCCCATAATGACCAAAATGAAGAGACAACTGAAATGCCCAGACAGCATCAACAAGTGTTCTGGGAGCTTGCCAGGCACCCACATACTGTAAATCACAAAAAATCGTATTTTACCAAAGTGAATAAAACCAAGAGATACTTACATTACACAGATGCTGGATAGAGGAAATAGGCATTTTTATAAAAATTATAGTAAATATTCTTTAAGTTTTATCTGGAGAAAAATAAGGAATGTGTCAGAATAATAACATTGAGTCAGGCGTATTTTTTTTCCTCCTTCTTACTTTTCTGCAATAAGCAAGTATTTCTCCTGTATAAAGAAATAGCTTTATGAAGTTATAGTCCACACCCTATATAATTCTTCCCTTTAAAGTGAGCAATTCAATTATTTTTGGCAGATCCACAGCTCTATGCAAACTTTGCCAGGGCCAGAATTAGGACATTTTTATTGTCTCAGAAATAAATTCTATATATTTTAGCTATCACTCTCAGATCTGCAGCTCCTCCCAGCCTAAGAAACCATTAATCTGCTGTCTATCTGTAAATGTGTGTATCTAGGCTATCATATAGAAAGTGATCCTATATGTTGCCTTTGTGTTTATTTTACAGTTCTCGAGGGTCGTCCCAGCGGCAGCATATATCAGTACTGCATTCCTTTTGAAGTCAAATAATATTCCAAGTGTGGGTATACCATATTTTATTTTCCCCTCATCAGTTGATGGAAATCTGGGTTGTTTTCACCTTTGGCCATTGTGAAGAATGCTGCCATAAACATTCATATACAGGTTCTTAGCCAAAATAACAAATATGATCACATCTCCTGAATACACGCCTAGGAATTGAATCACCAGGTCATACAATAACTCTATTTTCTTGAAATTCAAATTGTTTTCCAAAACAACTTTGCCATTTTACATTCCTCCCGGCCATATATGAAGATTCTAATTTCCCCACAGCCTTGCCAACCCTTGACACTACCCGTTGTCTTATGATAGGCATCTGAGTGAATAAGGAATCATGTCTGACTGTGGTTTGCGGTTCCCTGAGGTTTAGCGATTCTGAGCCTTTCCCCAGTGATGCTGGGCCATTCGGGTGTCTTCTTTAAAGAAATGTCTGCGTAGAGCCTGGACTACTCATTGTATTTTATTTTTTAAATTGCACGATTGAAGTGGAGCTGCGTTTCTTGTCGCTTTGATGCTGTTTTCCCACTGGACGCTTTGGTTGATGTTCCTTTTATCCCTTCCCAGATCAGCCCAGCCAGATTTCTCACATCCTCAAGGAAAAAGAAATAATTAGCACAAAATCCAAATGTCGCTAGGCACGGCAGTATATGTTATCCCAGCACTAGGCAGGAAGATCAGGAGTTCAAGATCAGCGTCAGCTACAAAAGGAGGGCTATAGGGCGCCCATCTCAAACAAAACCACCACCACCACCAAAATAGTGTTCTCTGGTGGGGGCTAAACATAGTGGACATTTGCCTATTTTGTGGTGGTTGTCACTGCCATTGTTTTGGTGACCCAACATCTGGGACCCGCCAGAAATGTGAATGGCAGAACATTCCAGTGATGGAAGAATCTGGGCTGGCGATACTGTCAAGGGACTGCAGTCAGGGCAGCAGACACAGCAGTCATGACTTCTGGAGCCCCAAATGGTGGTGACAGCATTGGCTGTTTCCCAGCAGGTGTGACCAGGCATCCTCAACAGCATGGCCCAGGTAGCACCGAAGCTGGGAAATGGAGACTGCTCCCTTCCTATTTCTGACCATTTCCTCAGCCCACTTCTCCAGCCTGCCAGGTAGCTGGTAAGATTCCCAGTGCCCGTTCCTCTGGGACTCAATGAACCTATGTGCTGTCCACTGTTGTAATCAAGAAGCCTGACTCATGACGGATTGTTCTTTCTTTTCCTGAGAATGCCTTGCTGCTGTCTGGTATGTAAGAGCAACATTTAGACTTTAATGAGGTGGAAATAACCTGAGAAAAGGTTGTGTACGAGAAACCTAAACAGATGCACAGTCTTGCCTAACCCCTAACAAACTGGTTGTAACAACCTCTGCTTGTAAACACTCCCTGCAGGCACCAAGCTGGTGGCAAAGGTCCCTGGCTATACAGGGAAGCATCGTAAATGGAAACAAGATTTGCTACAGAGCCATGCCTGCGTCTTGAATCCAAAATACGGCCCTTTAGCACCAGGAAATAACTACTCCATGCCCCAGTGGATCCAATGCTGGTACTGACTGGGTATCCTCTCCTGTCCCTTCCACCCACACTGGCTCCCAGGCTCCCACTCCTCAGCAATTAAACCAGCTTCTTGTCTTCCCCACAAGCCCAGTCTTAGCAGATGCAGCTGTCACTCACACACGACCATCGCGGTCTGACTTTTCCTGGTACCCATATGAACTTGTCTTGTTGAGATGTTTACAGTCTTTGCTGAAATGCTTCAGCATCACTTTTTACCCAGAGAAACATGACCCTCACTTCAGAGTCCTCTACAGATAGACAAGTATCACCCGTGGGTGGGCTGATGTCAGTCAGGGTGACTGATGCTTCCCATGCTCACAGAGGAGAACCATGGCAGCTGAAACAGGGCGGGAGGCCGGCATAGCCTAAAGGGGACCATTCAGGCATAAGTTACACCTCCACGTCTAAGCAGCACAAAGTCCTCTCTCATCATCTAGGACTCTGACTCAGGAGCACCGGCCCTCCCCAACTCTATCCCAAGGGTGAGTTCAGGTCACCCAGCAAACGCCAGTTTACAGAGGGCTGAGAGACCGATTCAGCCAGAGCCAATATACAGAGCCCAAATAGCCGAGCAAACACTGAACTCGTCTGGTTTACTTTCCGGCATATTCAACAGGAATATTCAGCTTCACTAATGTCAGTGTCTGGTTTGGGTAACTGATGATAAGAGGGGGTGTATTTCCACAGGAGCAGTCAAATAGAGGCTGCTATCGTGGAGTTTTTCAGTTGATGTTGATATTTTGGGTGAGAATGTTCAGGGAAATGCTACCCTTTTGCAAGTATGTTGGAGTTTAAATGTGGACAACAAAAGGAGCCCCGTTGTCTGTCCCTCCAGTATTGTTGGGTTTTCTGTCCTGCCCAATTCCCATAGTCACTAAGTCCCAAAGAAATCACACAGAGGTCTACATTTACTATAAACTGATTGGCCCATTAGCTCAGGCTTCTTATTAACTCTTATAGCTTACATTAGCCCATTATTCTTGTCTATGTTAGCCACGTGGCTCGGTACCTTATTCAGTGAGGCAGTCATATCTTGCTTCTTCTGCATCTGGGACAGGACTGCACAAACAGTTTTCCTCTTTCCAGAATTCTCCTGTTCTTGTCGACCCACCTATACTTCCTGCCTGGCTATTGGCCAATCAGCGTTTATTTAAAATATAATTGACAGAATACAGACCATTGTCCCACACCACTCTCCAGGACCACTAAGAATCACCAATCACACCCACCTCAAATAAGCTTCCTGCCTCTCTCCAGTGGATATGCCTCTTGGGCAACAAACCCTTCAGCTCGGTCAAGATAGATCCTGGCCACAGGTGTACTGACCAAAGCAGCCAGCTCTGGCAAGAGGTTGGCAGTCTCCATCGAACAGTGAGACATTCTGAAGATGCTGGACCACGGTTGAGCCCTGTCTTTCACCTTAAGGGACAAGTTGAAACACAGCAGCTGGCCAGTGTCCTCCCTTGCTATCTTCCACTGTCAACACCAGGAACAGGCGACATTTGCTTCCCTTCCATGGAGGACGATCCTGGCAAGCCAGTCCTGCAGGCTGTGAGCCTGGAGGCTCTAGGGGCGGTGCTCTGTCTACAGAGAATTGACACGGTACTAAAGCTGAGTAAAAGGAGACTCCCACGAATGTGGAAATGTCACAGTGGATCAACTAATATGCACAGTCAATACATTTTTTTAATTGCCTCCCCTTTTCTTCTCCTGTACTGGTTAGTTTTTGTCAAGTGGAAAAAACCTAGGCATAGCTTAAAATAGGGAATCTCAGTTGAGGAATTGCCTCTATCAGAGTGACTGTGGACTACTCTGTGGTCAGCTCCGCCTAGCTTGTTATAGCAGCCCACATCCATGAGTGAAAGGACCTGGGTACCACTGGGCATCCCCTCCCCTGCCCCAACTTCTCTCAGGAGCACCAGAGTCTGGGATTTTCCAATCTTCAGGAGCACCAGCACTTCCAACCTTCAGAGTCTGGAAGCTGCGATTCCTAAATTCTGGCTTTGCTGAAGGGACAAGGAGCCCTCCAACTCTGCGGGTCAGATGTTCAGTGATGCCAGCTGAGCCTTCTCCATCCTCGCATCTTAGCTTCCTGCCTTCCTCCATGCCTCTTCCTGATGGATCAGGCACACAGAAATGGTCAGCATTGCTGACCCCTGACCTCCTCCAGCTGCACAGCTGATCTGAGACTTCCAGAAAAGAAGGCCTAGAGAGAAGACTTGACAGTGGGACTGGAGAGACCCGGTGCCATCACCTCACCCTAGGTCACACTGTGAGCCCACTCTGTGTCCTTGGCTACTCACTCCCCCTTTCCGAGCCTCCGTTT